AGTTTATTCCGATTCCTCGCTATTCATATATGATGCATTACATTATGTACAAAAGTGTTGTTGACAAATTTTTATTTTTTCAATTCTATTTCTTTTGCACAACGACTAGGATTTTATAATTTATTGTGTCTAAATACTCACTAAGAGTATATACTTCCTTAATGAGACCATATTTGCTAGTTGTTTCATTTTCTTTTGGAGATTTTTATATTATAATTGAATACCATCACGTTTCAGGCATACCATAAGTTTATCAAATATAATATTAATTAATTATACTCTAAGGTGTTAATTCGAGTTGAAGCATTTAAAATTGATGTATAAGATTTTATTGATTTCTTTGGTCAGTAAATATATCTAAATAAATTATCTTTCGGAACTTCTAGTTCTAATTATCTTTTGTGGGAATAATGATGTATTTGTACATTATTTTCAACTTCTTAATTTCTCACCCTAATGTTGAGATAATTTTTTCATCAAATTGACAATCAATAAATTGCGTTATAAAATATCACCCATTTGGGATAAAAGTTCAAACTAAGCATTTATTCTCAATATTCTTTACTTTTCATCTTATTGCAATTTGGTGAATTAATTGTACATAAATTAATTGGAAGCGTTTAATAAGCAATAGCATTAAACCATTTATTGATATCCCAACGAACACTTAATAAAATGTTAGATTTATGACTACTAGCATTGACAAGACATGACATCTTGATTGTATAATCTGAAATTATGCTCATAATTTAAAATTTGAGCAGTAATTTTGCAACTTTTAGGTTGTGAACGTCATCCAATTTAGTATATATATCAAAACTATTATATACAAATAATAACTAGATGATCAACGTAGATGATGATGATGATGATGATGATGATGATGATGATGTCTCTTTTATCACTCTAATTAATTTTAAAAAATATAGAGAATTCAGTCTCTATTTTAGCTGATGCGATCAACCACCGAACAAACATCATATAGGAATTCATTGGATTGAAGAATCTTCAAATGCTTCGTCAAATGTTCATTTTAATTTTTAATTTCCCATCATTATTGATCAAATAATGGTTCAACTGATCTTGCCAAACATTATTGAACTAGAATTTTTGCTATTGGAATAACTATTCAATTAAAGAAAAGATATAGTTAATTTTCAAGAATATGATTAATTATAATATAATCATATAAGAATCAATGTCTACATGACATGAGTTGTATGTTATTCTTCAGAAATAAATACTAATTCAAAATTATATATTTTTCGAAAGATGTGCTACTTTGAGAGTACGTTATATTTACTATTGCTATTACTATTACGAGAGCAACAAATCAGTATTCTTTTGAAATATTAAAAATTTAATATCATTTCTTCAGAAGCAACAACATATTATTATTTAAAATATAAATTATGTAAAAAATTACTCTTCATGAGCAAAAACATAATATTTATGGTAGATTTTACTTAATTATGCTTTCGGGAGATTTATTAAATTATTTAATACAATATTTCCTCTCTCCGTCCATAATTAATTAAATCTATGACCATCTTCTCTTTCTATCCATAATTCCACTCACTACCCACGAGTCTAATTTGGCCGCCTACTCCCTCTCTCCCTATTTCCTCTATCTGCATATTCACTCGTCGCCACCACAACCTCGATCATTGCGACAATGACACCTCTGTTGTGCACGTCGTGACAGCAACAACAGAGGCATCATCGCACTGGGGGCCACAACAGTAACGATGCGCACACAACGTATAGTAGAGTTTGTCACTACGCCCAACATTATCATTGTTGCAGCAGCTGCTGCTGTGCGATTTGGAAAAAATCTAGAAGAGTTGGACGCCAGAGTTTTTTTGGATGGTTTTTGTTGGTAGTGCTTATTGTGGGTGGTGGTGGTGGTGGTGGTGGTGGTGGAGTTGTGGTGTTGTAGGATGGGGATGAGATGAAAAGTGATTATGACCAATTACTCGAGTTATCGGGACAAATAAATTAGTGAATTTGTGATCAATAAATAATATGTAATCGATAAAATAGATTTAGTCAGATAAAGTCAAAAATAACATAAACTTGGTCGCAAAAAGTTATAGTCAACACATAAAAGGTCGCAAATAGTCACAATTAACAAAAAATTGGTCAAACTGAAGTCATTATTTACATATGAGATCACAAAATACTGTTAAGACATGCATAATCACATATAGTCAAGACGGTATTGGTCACATATAGTCAAAGACATATCAGGTTACATATGACCACATTAAGAAAGATCTGGTCACATACAATCACATATGACTAATTAATTTAATAATTTGTGATCATAAAATAAATTGTAACCTATACAACTTGTGATTTGTCGTCGAAAAATATGTTGTAATTTATAAAATAGGACTTTGTTCAATATAAGTTGCACAACATAGGTTACAGTTAGATAACAGCAGGTCATAATAAATGCATTATACGTCACAAACAATCACTGTGAAAACGGACATAGTCACAAATAGCCACAAATAACACAAACCTGGTTACGGAGAGTCACAGTTAACACATAAAAGATCGCAAATAGTCACAATTAATAGAAAATTGGCCACACTAAAGTCATTGTTCACAAAACTTTAATTTCAACCAGGGGTAAAATTGCAAGCAATGCCTGTAATTTCATAAATTACACTAGAGGCCCCCACCCCAAGTCATCACCAATCTCTAATTTCTCCCATTTTCCTCTACATCGCAGAGGGTAAACCCTAATTTCTCCCTAGTTTTCTTTTGCGACGGTAAAGGGTGGCCACAAGCGCTGCGCTATCTCAGGTGCACCTTCGAGTGACGCTGTTGTTGCAACAACAGCAGCATTGCGACGCTGTCTTATTGCGCAGAGCCACGTCACGCAACAGTGCTGCTTCACAATGCCATTGAGGAGTTGGCGTGGCTGCTCGCGATGAAGGTGGTTGTCAGCAAGATGGAGAGATAGTGGTGAGAGTTGGCAGTCGGCATTCGACAACTTGGAAGGTCTTCTTCAGTAATACATATAATATATTTTATTGAAATTGTTATTATAATTTAACACCTCATTTATGAAACTTATTTACAAGTTCGTTAAATTTGAGTTTGTATTCTTGTAGTATTGCATTTATGTATTTTTCCCTTTTTAATCACTTTGCGTGTTCATCTCATTTTCAACGAACTCTAGCCCATAAGTTTTCACAGATTTGAGTTGCAACTAAACCCAATATGTCCACGTTAAGAATTTTCTTGAACACAAATAGCCTTTTAGTTAGTCATGATCTCTAAATTGGTGGAAAGAAAATATTTTACAGGGAATTGATTTTCCTAGAAAATGTTTTACTTGGAATTGTAATTAATTGTGTTTGATTGGTATAATTTTTCATGAAAAATATTGAAAGTTTGGTGTTCATTTGGCTTCTTTTTTATGTAATTTGTCCATTAAAGTGATAATTTTTTCTACCATTGGGTCTAAAATTTGTTCCAATTGTAAAAAAAAACTTGAAAAAAAAAATTTATCATACCGAATATCATTCGTTTGACTTTGTTTTGCATGGAAGTCGTCAATAAAAGTGAAATTTTTTTTACCATTGTATCTAGAATTTGTTCCCATTGCAAAAAAAAAAAAGATGAAAAACGTTTTCCTACCAAATAGGTGGGAAAACAAAATCAAGTTTTTGTGTATCAAATGATTGTACCTAGAAAAA